AGTGTGAATTATTTTTCTTTGTTCTCACTCGAGGTTCAAGGTCACACTCATCTTATGAATTTCTTGGAACGCAAACGACGAACTTGTGATTATGATAACAATTTTCTTGTATAGAAACAATTTCCCTAATGGATAGAAGAAAATAAAACAGTAAACAATCGGTAGATAATTATTTATTGATAGTAATTGATGGTAAAAGTAATCTTTCTCCTGAAAATTCAATGACAGTACAGCGTTCAATTATTTTAGTAAATCGAATTGTTCACCTTTTTCTTTTTATTCGCGATCTTGAAAAAAAAATGCTTTATTTCTGCTGCAATTTTAATTACACTTGTTGATTTTATTTTGAGAAGTTTTTTTCGCATTTGTTTACGAATTTAATCGAGATTGCGGGTCGATGGTGATATTTTCCAGAGACCATTCGTCCGGACGTTCCGCATAATCATAACAAAGATTATTTCACCTTTATCTCATTCTAGAAAATTTTTCGCTGCCGAGAAATTATCACGGGACATAGAATGCCTCCCAATTTTTCCGAGAAATTACCAAAAATGGTTAATTAACTAATTAAATTAGTGTTAAAAATAATTATCACGATAGTCTCGGGAACAATAATTAATAAACAATAATAATGGAATAAAGTTTTCCTTAAACGCTGGGTCTTGTATTAAAATATTCAATTCAATTTATTTTATTCGATGTTACAGATCTTTTTCCTTTATTTTACATCAGCATCAGCATTTATCATCCCCAATGAATTTCAATTCAATTTCAAATTATAATAATAAATACAGGCACCTGTTATTGCTTCAAAAGCATTATGTAAAAATTTTAAACAATTCTTATATCTTCGCCAATACATGCAGAACAACTTTAAATCTCATGAAATGTCCTAGCGTATAATTTCAAGGAAATTTCGGGAAAATGTCTGATAGAGGAGTGGGAAGGGGTAGAGGAGGTCCTCCAGCTCTCCAAGGTGCCTGGGGTCAGCGTCAGGCTGCAACTTCGGTAAAAAAAATTTATTTATTCATTATTATTTCCCTAATTAGAATAACAAATCCTATAGATGAACGTTTTCGCATTTTCCTGAATATTATTTATTATTATTATCATCATTATTCTTTGATTTGTTGTTAATCTGTGCGGGAGAGAGAGAATTTGTGAAGAATATATTATATTGATAGAAAAGAAATATCTAAGAGATATCTCTCGATATATTTCAGTCTATTGGACGTTCTGTGAGGGCACCAACTCCTATTCAAGCTCCCCTACCCCCTCAGCACTGCGGAGAAGGTGGAGCTCTGCCTCCATTGCCCGTAGTTGGACAAATGGGACCTGGTGGTGATGCAGGTGGTCCTGCAGGTGGTGGTGCAGGAAGAGGTACCATGAGAGGAAGAATGGTTGTTCACCCTGACATCCTGAATACTCGTCCGGAGAGTAATACTAACAAGAATGGAAATATTGGAGAGCGTATACAACTACTTGCCAACTACTTCAAGATCACCACTAAACCAGATTGGTGTCTTTATCAGTATCGAGTGGATTTCGCCCCTGAGGAGGATCGAACGATCGTGAAGAAGGGACTGCTGAGGCTCCACAGGGAGACCCTTGGCTCTTACATTTTCGATGGAACAGTCATGTACACTGCCAACAGGCTAATCCCTCCCAATGGACCTGATATGGAGCTGTTTGGCCAACGTAGATCAGATGGTGAGAATATTCGAATTACAATTCGATTGGTTGGGGACATGGTGAAGGGTGATCCCCATTATCTCCAATTCTACAACATCATGGCGAGACGATCTCTGGAGCATCTGCAGCTGCAGCTCGTTGGGAGGAACTACTTCGATCCAGCAGCCAAGGTAATGGTAGCAGAGCACAAATTTGAGCTGTGGCCGGGGTACATCACGTCGATTCGTCAGCACGAGAAGGATATTCTCATGTGCGCTGAGATAAATCACAAAGTGATGAGACAGGAGACACTGTTGGACATCCTTGGGAGAATGAGGGGTGAAGCTGGTGCTGTCAATTATCAGAATGCATACAAAAATGAAGTGATCGGTCTCACTGTTCTGACAGATTACAACAACAATACATATCGAATTGATGATGTGGATTTTGGTGCTTCCCCCAAGTCGACCTTTCACCTGAGACGAGAGGACAGAGATGTCAGTTATCAGGACTACTACAGGGTGAAATACAATATAATCATTCGAAATGGCTCCCAGCCGATGCTGGTGAGTCGCTCTTCTGCACGTGATCGTCGAGCTGGTGTTGCCGAAGTTGTTTACCTTGTGCCTGAGTTGTGCAGAGCAACTGGACTCACTGACACCATGAGAAATGATTTTCGCCTGATGATTGCGATGGGCCAGCACACGAGGGTCACCCCTGACAGGAGAATCGATATGCTGTTGGCTTTTAATCGAAGGCTCAACTCTGAGCCACTGGTTCAGGATGAATTCAGAAATTGGAATCTCGTTCTTGATAGGGATCTTGTCAGGGTGCCAGGTAGGCGTCTGCCTGAGGAGAAAGTCTTCTTCGGTGCTGACAAAGTTGTGACTTCTGGTTCTGATGGGGATTGGACCAGAGCCATCAAGGACAGTCAACTGCTCGTATCCAATCAACTCAATTCGTGGGTTGTTATTGTGCCTTCCAGGATTTCCAGGGATGCCAGGGTGAGTTTTTTTTTAGCTAAGACGACTTTTTCTTTCTTCCACTCTTCTAGCATTTTTCGTAACAGCAGAAAAACCAAGGGTAAAAAATTAATTAAACAAATAATCAATTACAGTATAAAACATTGATTTAATGAACTCCTTATCGACGCTCTTACAAACTATTGAATAACTATTTACAATGGAGTGGGATTTTCGCTGTATTTATCCACTCTTCACTCAAAGAGCGAGTGTAATTCAACTACTTCTCGTACATAGTGAAATCACAGTCTTCATCATCAGCAATGGCAACAAAATCGAAGGGTGGAGGTACATAGATTGGAGTAGGACACACAGGTTGTGGCTGTGAAGGTACTTTTTCACTCTTCATGATGTCTCGAATGGAAATCAAAGCTAAACGCTGTTCCCTCGTGTAATGGGGATTCACGGAGCAGTAGTCGATGACTTTTTTTAGACTAGCCTGGGCCTCAATATAAGTGACTTTAGGTTTATCAGGGAGAGGAGCTGCTATTTGGATCTGGTGATTGATTTCGTTCTCCTCCATAATTATCTGAACAATCTCGTCTTCGTCTAGGCACTCATCCTCAGTGAGTTTTGTCGGTGGATCGAGCCATTTCTC